GGATCCATTATATAATACATTGTATACATACAGGATCCATTCTATAATACATTGTATACATACAGGATCCATTATATAATACATTGTATACATACAGGATCCATTCTATAATACATTGTATACATACAGGATCCATGATATAATACATTGTATACATACAGGATCCATTCTATAATACATTGTATACATACAGGATCCATGATATAATACATTGTATACATACAGGACACATTCTATAATACATTGTATACATACAGGATCCATTCTATAATACATTGTATACATACAGGATCCATTCTATAATACATTGTATACATACAGGATCTATTCTATAATACATTGTATACATACAGGATCCATTCTAGAATACATTGTATACATACAGGATCCATTCTATAATACATTGTATACATACAGGATCCATTCTATAATACATTGTATACATACAGGAGACATTATATAATACATTGTATACATACAGGATCCATTCTATAATACATTGTATACATACAGGATCTATTCTATAATACATTGTACACATACAGGATCCATTCTATAATACATTGTATACATACAGGATCCATTCTATAATACATTGTATACATACAGGATCCATTCTATAATACATTGTATACATACAGGATCCATTATATAATACATTGTATACATACAGGACCCATTCTATAATACATTGTATACATACAGGATCCATTATATAATACATTGTATACATACAGGATCCATTCTATAATACATTGTATACATACAGGATCTATATATATATAATACATTGTATACATACAGGATCCATTCTATAATACATTGTATACATACAGGATCCATTATATAATACATTGTATACATACAGGACCCATTCTATAATACATTGTATACATACAGGATCCATGATATAATACATTGTATACATACAGGATACATGATATAATACATTGTATACATACAGGACAAATTCTATAATACATTGTATACATACAGGATCCATTCTATAATACATTGTATACATACAGGATCCATTCTATAATACATTGTATACATACAGGACACATTCTATAATACATTGTATACACACAGGATCCATTCTATAATACATTGTATACATACAGGACCCATTATAAAATACCTTGTTTACATACAGGATCTATTCTATAATACATTGTCTTACATAACAGATACTGTAAATTATATAATACATTGTATTACACAGAAGACATGTTATATAATATATTGCTTTACATAGAAGATATATAATAAAAATACAGTACATTATATTACATAGAAAATACATTATATAAGACATTGGTCTCTTTGCTAGAGGAAAAATTGTAAACAGAGAAAAGGGGGTAAGGAAAAAATAAAGATAAAATAGCTAGATCAGGATTTGCTGTAGGTCAGAGTTAGGGTCACGTTTAGCGTCAAAGGTCATGCGCAGAGTCGGGGTCAAAGATCAGGACCAGTGTATTTTAGGTAGAGTTAAAAAATGCTTTGGGTCATTGTCATGCTGGAACACCCATCCACGACCCATTTTCAATGCCCTGGCTGAGGGAAGAAGGTTCTCACCCAAGATTTGATGGTACATTGCCCCGTCCATCGTCCCTTTGATGCGGTGCAGTTGTCTTGTCCCCTTAGCAGAAAAACACCCCCGAAGCAGAATGTTTTCCACCACCATGTTTCACAGTTGGGATGGTGTTCTTGGGGTCATAGGCAGTATTCCTCCTCCTCCAAACACGGTGAGTTGAGTTGATGCCAAAGAGCTGGATTTTGGTCTCATCTGACCACAACACCTTCCCACCAGTCCTCCTCTGCATCATTCAGATGTTCAGTGGCAGACTTCAGACGGGCCTGGACATGTGCTTTCTTGAGCAGAGGGACCTTGTGGGCACTGCAGGATTTCAGTCCTTGTCGGCGTAGTGTGTTACCAATTGTTTTCTTGGTGACTGTGGTCCCAGCTGCCTGGAGATCATTGACAAGATCCTCCGTGTAGTTCTGGGATGATTCCTCACTGTTCTCATGATCATTGACACTCCACGAGGTGAGATCTTGCATGGTGCACCAGACCTAGGGGGACTGACAGTTGTTTTGTGTTTCTTCCATTTGTGAATGATTGCACCAACTGTTGTCACCTTCTCACCAAGCTGCTTGGCCATAGTTTGGTAGCCCAGTCCAGCCTTGTGTAGGTCTACCATCTTGTCCCTGACATCCTTGGACAGCTCTTTGGTCTTTGCCATGGTGGAGAGTTTGGAATCTGATGGTTTGATTGCTCCTGTGGACAGGTGTCTTTTATACAGGTAACAACATGAGATTAGCATCACTCCCTCTAAGAGACTGCTTCTAATCTCAGCTTGTTACCTGTATGAAAGACACCTGGTAGCCAGGAATTCTGCTGAATGATAGGGGATCAAATACTTATTTCCCTCATGAACATGCAGATCAGTCATCATTTCTTAGATGCATTTCTGCTGAATTTGTTGTTGCTATTCTGTCTCTCAGTGTTACAATACACCGAACATTCGATTTTTACACCGATCATTTCTATGTGAGGGGCAAACATTCAAAATCAGCCAGGGATCAAATACTTGTTTCCTTCACTGTATTTGTATTTATTTTCTTTATAAGGAGTTAATGCTTTCTATACTCTTCACATTTTCTATGGAAAACTCTCAGTTGTACATAATATTCCCCGGAGCCCCAAAGGGACATAATCCATTAAACTCCGAAGATATTCCATGACAATAGATCCATGTCTGATGTACTCCTCGTCCTGATTACACACACTGAAAGAACCATTCGCAGCCAGCAGACCATGCTAAAGACTCCCCCGAGCGCCGCGAGCTGCTCCAAAGTGGCCCCTGGCGACATCACTCACGAAAAGAATACCTTTTAGGGCCAAACAAATGGGGAACGTAGAGCGCCAAACGTAGAGAAACTCCGACCTGCTTACAGAAGACGCTCCATCCCGCATCCCTTGGCACGGGCACAACAGCCGAAAGAAGTTACACCCCGATTAGCGGAATAAGGTCAAAGACATAAACGACCCCGAGAAGTTTCTCCGGACTGGGATTGGAGGACGGTCACGGTCCAAGTTTCCTGGTATTTGATTTCCAATATAAGCATTAGAAAGTAATTGTGCCGCAGTGACAGTAAACACATGAACCATGGCGTGGCTGCGGTGCCCGGTCGATACGGGGTTAAGTGCATTTCGCATAAATAGCAATCGCAGCAAATGGCGTGTATGTAAATGGCGAGGGGGGCGGGCCGGCCCGGCTTCTGATAAAATGAGTTGTTAACGTTTGCCGATAAATAGAACCTTTCAGAGTAACAACCATTGATTTTAATGTTGTGGCGAATGTGCGTATCTGCGTCCGCTGCTGCGGCGTCTCGGCTATGAAGTGGTTAACTCTCAGTCTTTAGTCCGGGTTCACACGGATGCGGTGCGGAATTCGCAGCGTTCTCTGCGCAAATTCCGCACCGCATCAGAATCGCATCCTGTTCATGCGAAACTCCGCGGGTGTGTTTGTTAACCCCTCACACCTAAGGGTAAAACAAATCTAAATGCCTAAGCACAATTTTGCAACGTTGACATGTGTTAGTAAAACCGTCCGTATCATCACAACTACTTTGTACATCCAGGTGGATTATACTGCATTTTTTTTTTCAGGACAAATCGGGCTTTCATTTGGTGGTAAATGGTAATGGATATCTCCTGATTTTTTTTTTTTTATTATTATCAAAAGAAAACTGGCCCAAAATAGTACAAAAAAATAATTTTTTTAAATTCATCTGTGTGTTTCTTGTTACGACCATAACCGACCACCAAAGAACAACCCAAAATAAATTCTCCAGCTCTTGACAATCGCAGCGATACCATATACTGTATGTGGATGTTATTTGTTGTTTGTACCCGTAGTACAGCCCAGAAACAAGAGTGCGCATATTTGCTTTTGCCCTTTTATTTATTTATTTATTTTTACCTAAAACTGACACTAACTGACGCTGATACCAATTTTTTTTTAATCCTGACCTTTTGACCCTGACCTTGACCCAAACACTAACCTTGGCACTGAACTAGATCAAACCTTGATCTAGGTATTTTTTTTTTTTAATATTTAATTATTTATCTTTCTTTTTTTTTTACATTTTTTTTTCTCTATGCCAGGAGTTAGAGAGATACAATGTATAATAGGATGTATACTGTATAATGATACAATGTATCCTCCATTCATAGAGAGAGAGAAAAAACAAGGGAGCTGGATGTACAGTGACTGATCACTGTGATAGCCAATCAGAGGCTATCACAGCAATCATGTGACCCAGAATCGGGAGTCCCGGGTCCTGATCGTTGGAACTGGGACTGACAACTCATGGGGCCCCCGGGCAATAGGGGATCATGGGGCCCCTGTGTCCTCGCCCACACTCAAACCACACCCAAAAAAGCCTATGAAAGGTACCAGAGGCATCTCATGGGGCCCCCTACTGACCCTGGGCCCTCGGGCAGTGCCTGAGTACCCGAATGGTCAGTCCGCCCCTGACTGGGAGTCCCGGATCCCGATCGTTAGCGGCGCACTCCTAGCACAAAGACAGGTACACAAATATGCGGCCCCATGGAAATAAAGCCCAGTTCCATGAGGCCGCATATTTGTATGACGTCGGAGTCAAGGGGTTACTTTAACAACACCCCAAAAAACGATGTGCAGAATTGGATTGCATAGGTGTGAATACCCATGCGATCCGATTCTAGTGCGGACCCAAAAAAGGGTCCTGCATGTTTTTGGTGCGGGTGCGGTGCAATTAGAGCCATACAAAATGTACGACTCCGATCGCATCGCGCACAAAACGCATGTGATTTGCACAGGATTGCGGTGCGGTTCCTGTGCGAATCACATGCGATATACCATGCGCAGGGGCGGACTGACCATTTGGAAACTCGGGCACTGCACGAGGGCCCGAGGTCAGAAGGGGGCCCCATGAGATGCCCCTGGTACCTTTTTCATAGGCTTTTTTGAGTGTGGGCAAGGACACAGGGGCCCCATGATCCCCTATTGCCCGGGGGCCCAATGAGTTGTCAGTCCGCCACTGACCATGCGGTGTGGTTCCTGTTCAAATCACATGAGATATACCATGCGGTGCAGTTCCTGTGCGAATCACATACGATATACCATGTGGTGCGGTTCCTGTGTGGATCACATGTGATATACCATGCGGTGCGGTTCCTGTGCGAATCACATGCGATATACCATGCACTGCGGTTCCTGTGCAAATCACATGAGATATACCATGCGGTGCAGTTCCTGTGCGAATCACATACGATATACCATGTGGTGCGGTTCCTGTGTGGATCACATGTGATATACCATGCGGTGCGGTTCCTGTGCGAATCACATGCGATACACCATGCGGTGCAGTTCCTGTGCGAATCACATACGATATACCATGCGGTGCGGTTCCTGTGCAAATCACATGAGATATACCATGCACTGCGGTTCCTGTGCAAATCACATGAGATATACCATGCGCTGCAGTTCCTGTGCGAATCATATGCAGTATACCATGCGGTGCGGTTCCTGTGCGAATCACACGCGATATACCATGCACTGCGGTTCCTGTGCAAATACCATGAGATATACCATGCGGTGCGGTTCCTGTGCGAATCATATGCAGTATACCATGCGGTGCGGTTCCTGTGCGAATCACACGCGATATACCATGCACTGCGGTTCCTGTGCGAATCATATGCAGTATACCATGCGGTGCGGTTCCTGTGCGAATCACACGCGATATACCATGCACTGCGGTTCCAGTGTGAATCACATGCGATACACCATGCGGTGCGGTTCCTGTGCGAATCACATGAGATATACCGCACCGCACATATGTGAACCCGGGCTAAAGTGACATTAACCCCGGTTTTAAAAAACTTTCCTCGAGTCTGTATTCCTAATTAAAAAAAAAAAAACACTTCTGTTGCTCTCAGTCTCTTTGGAGTCTCACATTTCGGCTGCGATCTGACTTCCTGTTAGAGGGTGGCTACATTCCTTCTCCATGCATCCTCTGTATGTAGGAAGGTAGCCACCTTCTCTTGCTGTCTCCCGAGGTGGACGTGGGCTTTGGGATTGTAGTGTGCACAGAGCAGTGTATGTGAATGCAACTAGAGTCCAGTGCTCATTCTAAACAAAGGAAAGTGGGGGGGGGAGGAGGGGTTTGGGAGCTTGTGGAGAACATATCAAGGAGGCAGCCAGCTACGATCTGTATTGTAATGTTACGCTGGTCCAGCTTGGCACAATGGGCTCCATTCACATAAGGAGATTGCATGCTGCATTCAGGTGTTCACCCAAATACGGCATGCGATCCTGAAAATGTAAATTCACTCTTGCTATAGTAAACCGTAAATACCGCATGAAACAGGAGCTAAAGTCAGTTCACAAAAGGAAAAAAAAGAAGTAAATAAGTAGTGGTCCCAGCATGCGATAGTTAAGGAGCCGGAAGCCACCAGCGTCCTTAACAACCAATAAACAATATGGTTGCTAAGGAGCTGGCGGGCGCTGTGTCTTTAACAACCTATGAGTCATCAGCTGTCGGCAGGGTTCCTCACTGACAGCCGAATGTAAAGAAAAAAATTCCCGGCATTTAAAAATTGCTGAAAAAAAAAAAATGTTGTGGAGTCTGCGGGTGGGGGGGCAGACCTCCTTTAACAAGGGGATCCCCAGATCCTGCCCCCTTCCATGTTAAGGAGAATGAAACACATAGTAGCCCTTCTCATTCACCAAAAAAGTGGTAAAACAAGTCCTTGACAAGTTTTTTTCTTTTAAATTGTCCCCTGATGTAGATCCAATGTCAATCCTGATGAACGCTGCCCCGGAAAACTGGTTTTAAAAAAAAAAAAAAAGGTCTTCTCTTGACGAAGTCTCCCGCCGAGTGACAGCTCCACTGCCTCCTGCAGCTAAATAAACTAAGGGGTGGCCATTATGATGACACCGGTTGGGGCAAGCTGGGGGTGGACCCCACACTGTTTTTTTTTGTTTTTTTTTAAATGTTGACCCAAAGGGCTTGGTATGGTATGGGGGGGGGGGGGCACATAATTTCTTGTCAGTAATTTTTAAATGCCAGCACTTATTTAGTTTACATTCAGCTGTTCCCCGCTGACAGCTAATGACTCATCGGTTGTTAAGGACGCAGAGGCCGCCTGTTCCTTAACAACCATGAATTACCGATTGTTAAGGACACCGGTGGCCGCCTGTTCCTTAACAACCATGAGTTAGCGGTTGTTAAGGACGCCGGTGGCCGCCTGTTCCTTAACAACCATGAGTTACCGGTTGTTAAGGACGCCGGTGGCCGCCTGTTCCTTAGCAACCATGAGTTACCGGTTGTTAAGGACGCCGGTGGCCGCCTGTTCCTTAACAACCATGAGTTACCGGTTGTTAAGGACGCCGGTGGCCGCCTGTTCCTTAACAACCATGAGTTACCGGTTGTTAAGGACGCCGGTGGCCGTCTGTTCCTTAACAACCATGAGTTACCGGTTGTTAAAGACGCCGGTGGCCGCCAGTTCCTTAACAACCATGAGTTACCGGTTGTTAAGGACGCCGGTGGCCGCCTGTTCCTTAACAACCATGAGTTACCGGTTGTTAAGGACGCCGGTGGCCGCCTGTTCCTTAGCAACGCAGTATTTATTACTGTTAATAAAAAAATGTTTTCACTACTAAAATGCCACATAACCCACATGGAAGAAAAATATATTTGAAATATATTTTAAAAATATTCTTCCCAAATATATTATACATAAATTTGAAATGCTACAATTTTGGCCCTATTCAATATATATATATATATATGTGTGTATATATATATATATATATATATATATATATATATATATATATATATTGCATGTTGAAATGTGTTTTTTTATATATTACAAAATATATGAAAAATATTTTTACAACTATATATTTTTTAAATATATTCTTCAGATTTATTTTATTTCATATAAAGTCATTTTAACATATATTTTTACATCTATTTGTAAATGCATTCCAAAAATGTAGATTTGTATTTTTAAGGACATACAGTATATTTGAAATGTATTTTTAAAAATATTTGTCTTTATATTTTGTAATAAAAACGCATTTCAACATACAGTGCGTATGTATGTATGTGTATATATATATATATATATTTTTTTTTATTGAAATATATTGAATATGGCCAAAATTGTAGTATTTCAAATATGTGTCAATATATTTGGGAAGAATATTTTTAAAATATATTTCAAATATATATGTATTTTTCACATATTTTGTAATAAAAACACATTTCAACATACAGTATATATATATATTTATTGAAATATATTGAATATGGACAAAATTTTAGCATTTCAAATATATGTATAATATATTTGGGAAGAATATTTTTAAAATATATTTCAAATGTGAAGGATAATGGGAGGGACTTTGTAATGGTCAGTTAGCTGCTGCACCTGCAGGGCTCTAATGAGGAAAGTGGCAGGGTCTGCATCCCTTTAGATGTAAGCAACGCTCTGGAAGTATCTCACCATAAATGACACTTTTGTTGCAGGGGATGCCCAAAATCTGACTTGTATTTTAGTGCAGACTTCTGGGAAAATCAGTGAGCCAATCACACAAGCGGGAAAGGACATTTCTCCGGGGGGTACTGCTATAGAGAACGCCTCTAAGGCGGCCATATTGCATGTAACAAAAAATGACAGCGCCTGCAGATTGAAAAGGAAAAGTCGTTTTTTAATAACATTCGATTACAATATGACTCGTATGTAGGCTTTCATTTTTTTGTTTGCCTTTTTTTTAATCCCCACAAAAGTGGAGTTGCCCTTTAAGTTCCTTGGCTTGACGCTTTATCTGATATCTCAGTCCTCATTTTTTTTTTCACTTCTACAATTGATTTTGTCTCGGCAGGTGACACAATGAAGCTGTTTGCTGCCTTGCGATGGACTGTGAAGGTGTTCGTCTTGTGCCTGGTGCTTGGAACGGCCGTCTTGCTGAATCCAGAGGATCCCAATGTCTGCAGCCACTGGGAGAGGTACTGTCATCCGCTACAGACACCGCTGCCATTTGGGGGATGGGGGGTGGGGGGGGGGGGCGGAGGTAGATGGGTATTTTGTGTTAATTTTAACCACTTCCAGTCCGGACACTTTCACCCCCTTCCAGTCCGGATGTTTTTATCCCCTTCCAGTCCAGACACTTTCACCCCCTTCCGGTCCGGACACTTCCCCCCCCCTTCCAGTCCGGACACTTTCCCCCCCATCCAGTCCGGACACTTTCCCCCCCTTCCAGTCTGGACGTTTTCACCCCCTTCCAGTCCGGACACTTTCCCCCCCTTCCAGTCAGGACACTTTCCCCTCTTCCAGTCCGGACACTTTCCCCCCTTCCAGTCCGGACACTTTCCCCCCCTTCCAGTCCGGACTCTTTCACCCCCTTCCGGTCCAGACCAATTTTCAGCTTTCAGCGCTATCACACTGTGAATGACAATTGCGCGGTCATGCAACACTGTATCCATGTGACATTTGTATCATTTTTTTTAGACAAATAAAGCTTTATGTTGGTGGTATTTATTCAGCACTGGGATTTTTATTTTTTTTGCTATAAAAATGAAAATGTCCAAAAATTTTGAAAAAAAAAGGTGTTTTCTTATAAAATGTTGTAAATAAATAACATTTCTTCATAAATCTTGGCCAAAATGTATTCAGTTATCTTTTTAGTAAAAAAAAATAACCCAAATTAGTTCATAACCAAAAATTCTAATTTAAACACATTTTTTTTTTACATTTTTATTTTATTTTTTTTAAATTATTATTATTATTTTTTTTTACATACTGTCACACTAGCAGTACATTGTCACCATGGTGACACTGTACTACTTGTGGGGGGTGATGGAGATTTTTTTTTTTTACACTGATTGCTTTTACCCCCATAAAGGCTGTAAAAGCAATCATTTCTCCTTCTCTCTGGCTGCATTCTTGCAGCCATTGAGAAGTACTGAGTGAGCTGTGATTGGTCACAGCTTGTCACATGGTACAAGGCTTTT